ACTCATGCTCATAGGCAAGCAAGTCAGTTTTGAAATTTGCTCAATTCTCAAGTTAGTGAGGGAAGTGAGATCAACCATGCTCTTCAAAAGCACCCCGTTGCAATCTCCATAGACAACTCTTTCAATGATGGAAGACTCATGCTCATAGGCAAACAAGTCAGTTCTAAAATTTTCCAAATATCCAATTTAGTGAGGGAAGTGAGATCAACCATGCTATTCAAAAGCACCCCGTTGTAGTCTTGAATATACCGTTCTGAAATTTGCCAAATTCTCAAATAAGTAAGAGAGGGGAGATCTCCCAAACTCTTACATCTTATAACATGTAACTCTTTAAGTGAAGAAAGGTTGCTGGGTAATTGTCCTAACTTAGGACAATTTTCAATCACAAGCCTATGAAGACAAGGGAATTCACTTGCACTTTCAGCTGAAGAAGTCCATTCCTTCCACTTTGGCATGTTTACAAACGCCAATTCAACCAGTGATGGAAAAGAGCCATGCTGCCCATAAAACTCAGAACCTATAGTTTCTATTGAATCCATGCCTTCAATAATTAATTCTTTTAGAATAGGTAGTAGGCCAAGTGATGGTAACAAAGTGCATCTCTTACAATGGCTGAGCACTATAGATGATAAATTAAGAAATAGTGATGGATCGCAAACCCAGGGAGGGAAATTCTCACCACCATAGCAAGAAATTTCAAGACTTTTTAAATTTGAATGAGGTTTTAGCCAGCTAAGGACTTGCATTTTAAGGACTAATTCATCTCGATCATTATCAGAAGTAGTCCCCTCCAGCTCATAATCAAAAGTGGTCCATTTCAAGACTAACTCCTCCAAACCATGGATCTTGTCTAGGTTGGCCTCCCTAGCATCTTGAACATCCAAAACATTCTGCAAATCTAGAATAAATAATCTTCCTTGAAGTTGCAACAAGTTCTTCAAATCAGATAATTTAATCATCGTTCCACTTGCCTTCCCCACGATAAATTTGGACAATATTACAAGATTTTTAAGGTTACCTATTCCTAATGGCATCTCTTTTAAAGATGGTGTATAAGTGATATCAAGATGATGGAGATCAATTAGATTGCCAATTGTCATGGGCAACTTACTAAGCCTACTACAATCACATAATAGTAGTGTTTGTAAGAAGAGAAGAGAACCCACTGATTCAGGTATACATTCGATACTTGTCCTAGACAAATCAATGTATCGAATATGTTTCAAATTTTCAATAGAATCTGGTAGCTTGCTTATCTGATAGTTGCAAAGAGATAGCACTCTTAAGCGACTTAATGTTGGTAGGATATCATGCAAGATTCTTTGAGACAAATTCAATGAACAGTTGCTACCACGGACTGGCAAGAATGTTCTTAAATGCTTCAATTTATCCAAGACTATGAACCTTTCTGACATTTCATACTCATGTGGAGTGAATGACAAATGACGAGCTTTCTCTAATTTTTCATCACCTATGCTACGTTCAAGATTGCAATATATTTTTCCAGCAACATCTACAGCTAAATCATTTACAAGGTCATGCATCACAAACCGCGATTTATCTCCACTAGACTGTTGAAAGAGTGATATTAAGAACAACTCATCAAAATATTGATGACCAATCTCCTCTTCCATTTGCTTCTTTTCATGTGACTGTTGCTGTAACAATCCCTCAGCCATCCATAACAAAACCAACTGCTTTTTGTCAAATTCATAATCTTCAGGGAACAAAGCACAATAAGCAAAGCATCGCTTTAAGTGAGAAGAAAGATGATTGTAGCTCAATCTCAAAACAGGAAGAATTCCACTTCCATCTTCAGATGAACTCCATATGTCACTTTTTAATACATTTTCCCACACATCACGATGTAGCTTTCCTCGCAAGATGCCAGCAAATGTTTTTAGTGCTAATGGCAATCTTTTGCACTTCTTAACAAGCTTCTCACCAACATCTTGTAGGTTTGGGTGCACATCAAAGTTCTCTTTCCCCAGTGCATGTCCTGCAAATAATGGCAAACAAGCATCATCTTGTAGCAATTCTAAATTGTGAACTCCTTCATCTCCTCTCATCATCGTCCCAACATCCTTATTTCGAGTTGTGACAATTATTTTACTTCCAAGAGCTCCCGACATAAAAGGTCTCTTCAAGACATCCCACTTGCCATATTCCTTATTCCAAACATCATCCAATACAAGAAAAAACTTGCATCCAGATAACTTCTCTTTCAATTTCTCTTGAAGCTTACTGAACACAAATTCAAACTTTTCATCAGTTACATGTTCTAAAATGTTTTTTGTTATTTGAGGAACATCAAACTCATCAGAAACACAAACCCATGCCTTCAAGTCAAACATGCCTTCCAATCTTTTGTCATTATAGATGAGCCGTGCAAGAGTTGTCTTGCCTAGTCCACCCATTCCAACAATGGGAACAACAAAGTCTTGTTCGGGATTGCCTCCATCTTCTAGCAACCTCCGAAGAATAGCATCTTTATCACCGTCTCGACCTATCACCTTATCTTCAAGAAGAGAAGACTCAGGTAGTCTTTTTGCAACTACTTTGTGATGAGACCTATCTTCAAGTTTCAAATCCAAATTGGTCAGGTCCAAACTACGTATCCTATTTTCAATTTTCTGCAATCTATCACTCAGATCCGTCACCATGGAATTAATCTCTTGATTGGGCTCAGCCTTATTAGAGCTAAAAAAATTCTTGACACTAGAGATGATTCTTTGTCGCTTGCTAGGTCTGGCTTTAGATTCTGCAATCAATTCAAACCTTTTGGCATCAATCACAAACTCTTCAAGTATGTCCTCCATATCATAAGCCAAGTCCCTGAGATCATCAAGAGATGACTTCACAAACTGGTTGGCAACTTGATTTTCTTCCGCATGTTGAAGTACAGCAATAATTTTGGGCAATAGAGTCTTCCAGCTTTCCATTTGGGCACGTACTTCCTCCATTGAATCTCGTGGCTGATCACTTATAAATTCATTCCACTGTTCCCGTAGTTGTTCACTAATAAATTCATTCAACTGTTCATATAGCAAGTTATACATAGCAGATAAAACAGAATCTTTAACAAGAGATAACATCTCCATTGGATAAAACAACTTTTCTGCAAAAAGAGAGAGAAAAACAGATTAAAGTATAAATTAAACTAATCCATTGAATACTGCACATTCATTTGACTATCATCAAATTAATATTTTATTCTAATGGATTGATTTAATTAACTTAGATTTAATTAGTTTCACGTGTTGGTGTTGAAAATAGCAAGATTATATAAAGAAAACAATCAACACGCGGTTTGCTCTAGGTGAATGAATGGTCAAAAATATGGATCCTACAAATAATAGTCTCGACTCTCGAGAGGCATGAACTTGCTGGATTCAACTAATTTATTGTCGTAAGTGTAATTTTTAATTAGAATAATTATAAATAAAATTAAAATTT